ACCAGTCTATCACAGGGCTACACTTAGAGACAGACAACCAAGCACACTCACATTCACACCTATGGACAATTTAGAATCACCAGTTAACCTCAGCATGTCTTCAGACAGCTGCCAGCGACCCTAGTGAGGATTAAGCGGTGTGTAGATAATGGATGGATGTCTTTTGACTGTGGGAGGAAGCCGGAGAACCCGGTGAGAATGATGCACAGGAAGAACTTGCAGGTGTCCAAACCTGGCATCTTCTAGCTGTGGGACGATGGTGCTAACAACCGAGCCCCCATGCAGCCCACCTTGATTAATATTAAACTAAATCCATAAGATTCCATGGCCTTACCTGCACTGCACCCCAATATATTATGTAAAAATGTGTTTCACTTGATTCAATTATTACACCAAACTTCCCATAAATCCTCTTAATGCTGACGTCCTTTCTCTTGTTAGGGCCCACGTTTAATGAACAGGCTTGTCTCCCAAAATCGTTGTGATACTTGTGTGATGCGTTGAGTTTCTGTCACAGGTATTGCATCCATCATGCTCTCTACTATAACACATGGAAGGTTTCATAAACGGACAAGCCACAAGCCTCATGTTGACTTTCTGGTCTCACTGCGAACAGTTACAGTAAAATACAGTAAAAACTAAACAGTTTGTTAATGATTTTATGTTGGGATAAAACAAAGAGCAAATAATAGTGGATAGCTTGCATTCACAGACAGATTAACTGTGTGAGTGTGTGTGTGTGTGTGTGTGTGTGTGTGTGCGCGTGTGCATGTGTGTGTGTGGGTGAGGGGGCGGTGATGATTCAGAAGTCAGATTTCTCACAGGAACAGTCACTTCACTAGAAGCAGAAGCACATTGCAGTTGGCCAGTAAGGAAAGGTTTTTAGTTTTTTTGTCTTTAATAGGGAACTGACGGATCTCCAGAGAAGCATACTAACAGTGATTTATTGGATATTTCTTATTCCGACCTGCTGACTGCCTTTTAAATTTGTAGTGAGAACATACGTAATGTCAAGAGTTGCCAATCTGTCGAAACTGCGGCAGGAGAGGATGAGGGAGATCAACCTACGGGTGAGTTGGCATCATGTTCCTCTTTGAGTTTAACATCCATATTAATGTTAGAACAGTACCATCAGGCTGTGGCATGTGGCTGGTTACTGGATTCAACACAGTATAGGACCTGTAAGGAAACCATTTTTGTTCAGAATGGCCTGCCTTAACTAAAAATGGAAAAGAATAAGATGAATCTACAAATGAGTCATTACAGATAAATGTCGCTATCAAGTTGTACTTTCTTCATTTTCTTCTTCTCCTGTACCCCACCATCCGTATCGCTGTGTCATTCCTCATTTTGCTCTCACAGCCGTTAAACATTTCCATAATGTGACACAAGGCCTGGAGCGCAGGCCTCTCAGGCCACGGGTCCCTAAACAGCTGCATTGGTTGCGTATCACTTCTTATCTGGCCGTACAGAATAAGTCTGCATGCATTTGTGAATGTAGGTGGTGGTGGTGTGTATGTTTGCCTGTACACAGTGTACTTGCTCACTGGATACTGTTGCCATAGAAATGGCTGTGAGTGTGTGTGTGTGTGCTATTACTGATTTCTTTGAGTGTTGTAGGCCTGACAATGTGTATAAATAAGTATACAGAAAAGCAGCCAGAGCCAAATCCACTCAGGCTTTTGCACCTGTCCTCTAGGAGCAGATATTCTCATTTACAAGCTGCGTTTGTTTCTACAGGAGGGCCACACAAAAAATAGGTGGAGACACATTAACACTGGTTGATTATGTAATTGGCTAAGGTCACACATTTTGCATTTCCTGTAAGCCATTAACTGTTCACCATCACCACACTCCACCTGCTCCAGTCTTGACCTGTTGATTGACACAATCTTTCTATTTTTCTGTCCGTTATATAATGTTATGATGGAAATATTTCTGAGGAAGATTTCAGCTGCAGCTAAGGTTTCAGTTCACTATAATAAGTTCACTATAATATAACTAATACAGTCATGAACAAAAGTTCAGGTACACTTGTAACGACCATGTAGATCATGTTCTCGTGGATTAATGGTAGCAACTGGACCTTCTTGAGTTCCTTGAAGACGTCCCACCTCTCATCCAAGAGGCTTCATCAGCTCTGACTGAACCACACCTAGCCACAAAAGACCCTAATGAACCCCATGGTGTCAGGGGGAGCACTAACGACTCGCATAACGAGGGGGAGGAGCAACAAACCCCCAACTGAAACCCAAACTCAGGTGTTAATGTCTCCCTTAGGATATCAGTATCTGGAACTCCCAACTAGTCAGTCAGAGCTGATGAAGCCTCTTGGATGGGGGGTGGAACGTCTTCAAGGAACTCAAACAGGTCCAGTTGCTACCAATCATGCATTTTGATGCCTATATTATAAGTCCTTTGGAAATACAACCACATCTGCTGGATCAAAAGTATACATGCAGCAACTTGAATGATCTGTTTTGGTGATGTAGAAAGTTGTGTTAATCTCATTTCCTTAGTGGCCTCTTAACCTCCTGTGAGTGATTATGGTGGACTACAGCTGGTGACTCCTCTAAGCTACTTTCAAGAGGGCCCATCTGATCCACTCATACAATCACTGACTCAACAAGTCAGGATTGTCAGAGCTATAAGTATAAAGAGTACATACTTCTCACTGTCACAATCAGGAGGAAAACCCAAGCTATCACCTGCTGCTGAGAGACAATCGGTCAGGATGGTCAAGACTCAACCAAGAATCACCAAAAAGCTGGTCTGCAATGAGCTAGAAGCTAGAAGTTGGAATGTGGGTGTCAGGGTCTGCGGTGTGTTTACATCACCATGAGCTGAGAGGCTGCCACGCAAGAAGAAGCCTTTCTCCAGGCGCAGCACTCAAAGGCTAACCTGTGCTGATCACAAGGACAAAGAAAAGGCCTTCTGGAGGAAAGTTATGTGGTCAGATCAGATGTTTGGAGGAGGGAAAGTGAGGCTTTTCACCCCCAAAACACCAGGACTGTCTGAAATCACTCCCTATACCTACATAGTGCACTATAGGGTGTTTGCCATTTTGTAGTGCAGTCCGAATGTTAAGTTACCAATGTTACACCCTATATAGTCACTCAAAATATCCCACAATGCACCGTGAAGTAGTGTACAGCCGCTTGTCACTAACCAGCAATATGGACCATCATGGATTGCGTGAAAGGAAACACAAACTAGACGGCAGAGAGTGCGAAAACCTGGCATTACAATGTAAGTAATTTCCCGTTCATGTTTTGTTAAATTT